TTAAAAAAAGTAAAACAGATCCCCAAGGACTTCTCCACCCCCCTGTCCACCCTCCTCCCCACCCCCGAGTCCATGAAGGGGAGGCCGCCTCGGCTGGGCCTGGCTGCGTTAATCTGTGGTTCCCACGGACATTCTTTCTGACCTATTTTCCATGTTCTTCAGGAGCGACCGTATTGGATTTCTGTGGTCAGTGAGTGTGGTTGAGTTTTCCACACCGCCCCCACCTCCCTTACAAATAAGTACATCAACCCCCATCGCAGCTAATCAAGAGCAGTCTGGACACAGCCCCAGGCTGCCTGGATGCTTCAAGGAGGCAGTTTCTCATGAAGGCAAGACATTGCCACTGAACTTCGCTTCTACCCCAACACTGACCGGCATACTCAGAATGAGATCCCAACACCCTCCTCTGTCTTGGGAAGCCCAGCAGGCTCCACTGACACACTGCCCTCCCTCACCCCCCACCGGCCAGCCACACTGGCCTGCTTTCTGTGCTCAAACATGCCCAGATCACCCCTGCCCCAGGGCCTTTGCACTAATTGTTCCCTGGCCTAGAACATTTCACCGCCATCCAGCACACTGACACAGCTTCTCGTTGTCTTTAAAGCTTGACCTGGACGATCACGTCCTCACTGAAACCTCCCCGGTCGCTCTGCCCTGTCTTCATTCCTTAGAGCACACAAGGAAAATCTGACAGATCTCATGTGTGCTCGTTTGGCCAGCTCCCCTCCTAGATGGAGGTCTGGCTTGTCTGTGGCTATGTCCCCAGTTCAGAGAACAGCATCTGGCATACATCCTGAATGAGAAGGTTTGACATGCCATCACTGTGGCTTTGCAGAGACACGAGCCGAACAGGAGGGGCTGACATCCAGGGCCCTGAGTGTCTCAGGAGGGGAGTCATTCACAGGAACATGCGGTGAGGACGGTCCAGTGGGAAGCAACCTTTTATCCTCATTAAGTCGATTTCTCTCCCCACAATGAAATCCAGTCTCCAGGAAGCTGCTTGTAAAACTGAACGAGAAGGGCTGGAGCAAACCTAGTGCTCCCGTTATTTCATTCTCCAATGATGAAGTTCAGGTTACAAAACTGGGTAAGACGTCCGAACATCCCAGATTCTGATCAAGCCTCACTGGTGGGTTCTCTTCCCTTCCACCCGAGACGGATGGAGAGCTGACGTGGTCACGCCCCAGGTAGAGAGCACCACAGATCACGGGCCAGAGAGGGTTGGGGACCCCCTCCCAGCTCCCCCTCCAGGCCCTCTGCCTAGGAATGGGCACAGCGAGGGCACAAGGAGAAGCAAGTGCCCGAGGCTGGTCTAACAAGGGCACCGACTGCTGAGGCCTTCGTTGTACACACACTGAGAGAGAACCAGGGCCCACCCCTGGTTGCGGGACGTCTGACTTCCACGGTGCAGGGGTGAGCAGAGGTAGGGTTACAGTTGTTCATATGGGAAACGACACAGTAACAAATCAATAATAATAATAATACAAGAACGAGCGGTTGCATGGGCTCACAATTGTAAACCTACGTTGGCCCACCCCTCTATTAAAGCGCAGGGGGAACACAAAAGGTGGGTCTCATTTCGCTGCTTCTCATTTCAATGGGCCGTGGTCTGTCACCCAGTGACCCTTGAGCAGTGCTGACCTGCTGCTCTGGGTCCCCAGCAGCACTGACATCCGGGGCTGGGCAGTGCTCCGCGGTGGGGGCTGCGATGCCCTCTGCACCCCAGGATGTTGGCAGCACCCCCGGCCTCAGCCCACCAGAGGCAGCACTTCCCTTGAACGGTGACTGCCAAAAACGACGGACGCTGCCAAACGTCCCCCGGAAGGTAAAAATCGCCCCCGAGCTGAGAACCACTGCACTAGAGTCCATGAAGCTTAACAAGCTTGGACAGCCCCCCCCCCCCCCCCCGCCCCGTCACGGTTCCATGCGCTGTGGTTTCAGTTACCTGTGGTCAACCACGATTCAGAAACTACATGGAAAATTCCAGGAAGAAGTCATAGTTTTAAGTTGCTTGCTGTTCTGAGCAGCATGATGAGGTCTTGCACCTTCCTGCTCCGTGATCCGGCCCTTTGTCCAGGTCCCCACGCGGTACGTGCTTCCCGCTCGTTAGTCACTTCGGAGCCGTCTGGGTGAGCGGGTGGGCTGTCGCTGGATCGGGTGCTTGTGTTCAAGTCACCGTTATTTTCCTCGATGATGCCACATTCGTGCAGCTTTTCTAACAGTATGTTGTTAAAACTGTTCTGTGTTATTTTCAGTTTTTGCTGTTAATCTACTGTGCCTAATTTACAAATTAGACTTTATCACAGGTATGTATGCATGTATGTATGTGTGGAAAAAGCAGTATGTCTAGGGGTTGGTAGTGCACGCGATTTCAGAAATGCACTGGGGTCTTGAACGCATCCCTCTTGGGGACGAGGGGACGGCCGGATGCAGACTGCAAACGAAGAAAAGGGCAGACGCGCCAAGTTCGACAGGCGTCTCGCTCCAGCCTTCCCGAGCCTTCGGACCTGCCGCGCGGTGCGTCTCCGAAGGGGAGAGGAGCAGGTTTCCAACTGTATTTGCCTGCGGAGCCCTTTTGGCAGAGAACCTGAGACCGAGGCTCCCCGGGACTTCCCCTTGGGAAACAGTGCCCTAGGCCCCCGGAGGGAGGGACAGAGGGGGCCACGTCGGAGTCCACACACCCCAACACCTTGGCCGCCTCGCCAGTTCTCATCACTGAGTCTGACTCTCCGCCCGGCTCCACCTTTAGCGGCCACACTCGGAGCCCAGCACCCAGCTCAGAGCTGGGCAGACAGGGCTCTCCCGTGGGCACCGTGGGCACCGGGTGGAGGCAGGGTATGCCACACCTTACCCTCAGGCCACGGTGTCTGAGCCAGCGCCTCCTGGGCTTCCTTCTGGGGAACGAAGGCCACAGACTGGAAAAGGGACAGGATGCTGCCTAGGGACAGCATCCAGGAGGGCAGGCTTCAGACAGGTGACCCACTGACTCAAAGTGCAAGGTCCTGACCAGTGTGGCCAGCCTCGCAGACTGCGGCACTTCACACCTGTCATCTCCACACGCCAAGCCTCCTGCCGTGTCCCTGTCCTGTCCTGCTCCGTGGCCCCTCTGGCTGCAAAAGACAGCTGGGTTTCTTTCTCGTGTCTGGCTGGCCTGCAGCCCGCCCGACAGAGGCCCACACCTCACATTATTCTCGCTGGCGTTTCTGTTGCTAAGAAGACACAAGAACACCGACACAGACGTCAGTGCGCCGGGGCTGCCTGTTGTCAGCCACAGGTGGGAAGGCAAGGGGGCCTGTTTCTGGGGACTCGATCTGATTGTTGACAATGTGTCACTCACCTCGGCCGCCGAGGAAATCAGGAGTGAATGCCCCACTTCCCTCCCCCACAACGCAATTCCTTTCCGGTAAAAAAAAAAAATTTTTTTTCTAAGTTAGAAAAACAAAAAAATGTATGTATGTACATTTTAACAAGTTAAAAGCCTAGAAGAACACCCCATAGAAAACACCCCCTCCCCCCTCCCTCAGCTCATCCCCTCCCCCATGCCTCAGCGATCCTCCAGAGGTCGGTTTTCCACCGGTTCGGCCTTGAGTTCTGCTCGGGGGTCTTCAAACCCTAAACGTGTCCTTTGATCACACTGATTTCTTAATGAACCAGTGGTACAGAATGTCCAAAGACTCCCGCTCTGAGAGGTGGGGGGTCTGACCCATTCTGCGTCCAGCCTCCCTTCCATTGGTGCAGAGTTTCGGAGTCCAGTTACTTAGTTTTTATTTTATTTTATTTTTTTATCCTCGCCCGAGGACATTCCTCCATTTCTTGTTCAGATATTGTGGGAGGGAGAGCAAGAGAGAAACATCGACGTGAAGGGACACATCGAGTGGCTGCCACCCGCACAACCCAACCAGGGCCGGGGACAAACTGCAACCAAGGTATGTGCCCTTAGCGGGAACCGAACCCGGGTCTCTCCGGACCGCAGGCCGACGCTCTAACTGCTGAGCCAAGCCGGCCAGGGCTTAGTTTTTATTTTTTATCTATCATTATTATTTTAGCTCCTCCTTTGACTACCTAGGATGTGTTAGGTGAACTACTGAACCTCTGATGACCTTGTGTTTCATGAAGGTTAAGGAGGTCCTCGGTCCCCTCTCCTTCCTCCCACGTAGCTGAGGACATCGCTGCTGCTTCTGCCTCCCAGGTCCTCCCTCCTCTGCCAGCAACACCCACCTGCATGTGTTCAGAGCTATCAGCATTTAAATCCTGAGGTACACCCACATCATCCAGGTTAACGCCCAGAGTGGAAAACCAACACATGGGGTTGTCAACCATGTGACTGTGGAGACATTTGTGAATTTGCTCACCACTGAGGCCAGGCTCTGTCCGGGGAATGAGGATTCCAAAAAGGAAAAGCAGAGACCAAGTCCCCACCCTCAGGAAGCATATAGTCTAGCGTGGGGAGTGACCTTCTGAGAGTCAGCATGTGGCGGTAATCCAGAGTCATTAGGCAAAGGCGCTAAAAGGAATGGTCAGGGAAGGCTTCCTGAAGGAGGTGGCATTTAAAACAAGGCCTAAACCACGAGAAGTCTGAAGGTGTTCTCCCCACTGGTGTGATCACAGCCCATCTCCTAGGATCTCGGAACTGTGTCTCCTAAGAGTAACAAACCTCCCACCTATTACAGGAATATCTATCTTGACCACCTCCCCTTGATTACCTTGCCTGACAGAAAACTCACACCCTCACAAGGAACCATGTTTCCTTTCCAGAATGTTCTGTTTGAAAGTTTCCCTAGAAAAATTGGCCTCCCTTTACCTTCTACTCTTTGATGCCTTTGGGAACTGTGTCCGGCAGGGCAGCAGGCTCAGAGGGCCTCCTTCCCTGTCAGGCCCCTCCCAGGGTTTGGTCCATAAGATCACCAGCCAGGTTTCAGACCCCAGGGTCCAGAGCCTTGACCTCCCCAGCGAAGGGGTGTGTGCCCCCTGACGGCCCCCAAGGAGTACGTGAACAGTACCTGTCGGAGGCACAGGGCTCCTCTGAGTGCCAGGGCTGGCTGGGATCCCAGGAGAACTTCCGGGGCGCTCCCAGGTGGTCTCTGGTCAAAGAAAGAAACAAAATCGCTTTCAGAATTTCATAACGTGGAACCTCAGAGGGTCGCAGAGCAGAACTAGATAATCAGAGCTGAAAGAAGTGGTCTTGGCCGGTCAACTGCCTCCCTACACCCAGGGACCAGGAGCCCACTGCTGCTCACACCTGCCCACCTTCCATGACGACAACACTCCTCTTTGCTGGGGACCCTTCTCCACACAGCTGGGGCCAGCAGGTGCACTTCCAGCTGGGATCCTTTGTAACGTGCACCCTGTCTTATCCCCAGGGCCGCCAACTCATGGACCTCCTGGAACCTAACTGCCAACTGGGCATTTCTCCCCAAACTCCCTTGTCTCCTGAAACCGCAGAGGAAGGAGCTCTGGCCCGGGGTTCTGTACAGAGACATGGCCTTCTGTCAAAGGGGGTGATTTCCAAAGTCCATGCTATGTCTTGTGTGAATTATAACTGCCACATCGGTCTGCCCCCTCTCCCGGTGCCCAGCTACACGGTCCAGCTAGAAGTAAAGGCAATACTGCAGCTACAGTATCGTCCCCCGAACACTACTGTACCCATGTCACCGCTGTGAACAGGCTTCTCACAAAATGATCTCGTGAGGAAAATAAGTTTCGTACTATATAAAATTGGATGCTACACAAAAGCACAAAGAAGAAGAAGGTATCACCCATAATCCCACAACCTGAAGGTCATCACTATCAATACTTTGGTACTTCCATGTCGATTGTTTTCTAGGCACATATACATATTTAAAACAGAAAAAAAAAATCATACTGTATGTTCTTTGCATGGATAGACTTTTGTGAGTATCTTTCCAAAATCATTAACGGTGCCGGACAGTAAGAGGTTAGAATCTATATTAACAGCAAAGGGCCTATAGCCAGACTGCCGGCGTTGGAATCCCAGTTCTGCCTCATACCACAAGCGTAGGCCTGGCCCAGCTAATTGTCCTGTCAGTGCCTCAGTTTCCTCCTCTGAAAATGAGGTCAATAGTGGCATCCACCCACGGCGTATGCAGGCCAAAGGCCTATATGCAAGTGCTTAGCGTAAAGTTTCAAAGTTAGCCCAATAGATGACTGTATGTTAGTTAATAAAACAAATTCTAATCCTGAGAATTTAATTGTCTCAAATGTTACAAACAAAAACATGTAAAACTTTTTCAGTGGCTTCTCTCAATTAGGATTCAAAAAAACTGTGTTTTTGCCTCAAATCTGCTCTGCAGCCCAGGGCAAGACATTCTACCTCTCTGGTCGTCCAATTCTTAATTCAAAAAGAAAGCGTTGAGCTAACTGGTCTTTTAGGCCTCAGTACTCCTGCCCTGCAGCTTTGATGGGTGATCTTAATATTTTAAGACCCACTTTTTGGGTTTAAATTGCTTACGGCTCCAGGAGTTCAGTGGTTACATGGACCCTTCCTTTCTCAAGGGAAAGAAAACAGAATGGAGAGCAAGTCAGGGAAGAGCAGAGAGGCTGTGACCAGGAGCACGAGAGCAACGGGTCTTTCAAAGAGCAGAAGGCCCGGCTCAGTGCGCTGACTGGCTCCAGGCACCCAGACCGGGAGCCTCCGCCAGGGCTCCAGCAGACACAATGCAGCTGCCTGAAGGGTTTGTCCCTGCCCACCTCCCAGTCTTGACCAGCTCTGACCAGTCCAAAACGCAAAGCCACTTCGAGCCTGGGGCAGGAGTGAGGCCAGGCCAGGCAGACAGTTGGACAGAGCCACTGGGCTCTAGCTGAGTGACCTCACCAGCAGCGGACAAATCACCCCAGATGACCATACCACCCACAGGGAGGAAGCCATTTCCAGGTCTTTTGCAATAAGGCTCCCGAATCTATTTACAGCACACCAGGCCCTTGACCAAGCCGACTTGAAACTGCCGTGGCAGCTAGGGGCCATGCTACTCTGACTTGAGGCCCTTTTGCATTCTCTGGGGTTCCATCCCTGAGGTTCTAGGTCATTCCAGGTGACCATCCAGACTCCTGTGAGAGTCACTGCCATGCAGGTCCCGGGGCTCTGCAGACATGGTCTGGTCCGCGTGGAAGAAGTGAGGTGTTCTCTCAGAGAGCCCCATCCAGCCCAAGTCACGAGAAACACATTTTCCCCTCAAGGCAACTCCAACTCAATTCAGACCTCCCACTGAAACCAGGGGAGCCCAACACGCACACATGAACTGACTGTGGATCGACCCAGCCTGAGGGCTCCAAGCCAGAAATTGTCACTTCCCCATCAATGGATTACAGTGGCTGCCTTGTGTCAGCTGTTAAAGAGAGCGTACATCTGAAAGGTGGAAAGTGATATAAATCCAAGTTTCAGACCACAGATGTGCCCTCCGTAAGAAAACAGCAACAGTGACACTAATTGTTAGGACTTACACAGCACCATCGTTCCTAACGGCCGTGGCGCGAGCCTCCCGCCACGGGAGGACAACGACCAAACTTCCCACCACAGAAGACCTGGCCAGGTAGGAAATGCTGGACACCAGGAATCACACCATATAATAAACTAAAATGGCCAAAGGAGCACCCAATCACACATTCCTGTAGACCCAACCCCCTGCCCAAACCCACCAGCCAAGACCCCAAAACCCACTGGCGACAAAAGCTTCCCACCAGTGGATGCACACAGGACGAACTCCAGGTCCTAGGGGCTGCCGTCATCGACCCAACACCCCATGGCTCGGTGATGTGCAGCCCTTCCCTTTGGATAGCCCCCTTCCACCATCCCCTTTTCTTTAAATACATCTGATTTTTCTTTATTCACTGTCTGAAACTGTTATTTAGCATGCCCGCACACCTCGAACCACTGGCTTTCACCTTTCACTAATAATAAACCAATACAGCCCTGGCTGGTTTGGCTCAGCGGTTAGAGCGTCGACCTGTGGACCAGAGAGACCCGGGTTTGGTTCCTGCTAAGGGCACGTACCTTGGTTGCAGTTTGTCCTCGGTCCCATTTGGGGTTGTGTGGGTGGCAACCACTTGATGTCTCTCTCACATCGATGTTTCTCTCTTTCTCTTCCTCCCTCTCCCTCTGAGCCCACTCTACCTGAAGATAAATACAAAAATGTCCTCGGGTGAGGATTAATAATAAAAATAAAATAAAATAAAATAAAATAAAATAAAATAAAATAAAATAAAATAAAATAAAATAAAATAAAATAAAATAAATAAAACAGTACACGAGGTAGAAGTTATTAATTTTCAAGTCACTTCTGGGCTTCATGTCCCCTCCTTAAGACTGTGTTCTGCTGGCACTAGAGGTTCTGGCTTCTAGTGAGAAAGCCACAACAAGCCCCTGGACCTAGGCCACTAGTCACTGTGATTGGCCTTGGGCCCACCTATAAATCCTGGCTCCACCCCAACTCCCTTAATCCCCACGCACCCACCAGTGGACTCCTGCTCCTGACTCGTCCATTTCCTTGGTTGTGGGTGGCTCTCTGCTGTCCCCTGTGGCTATCAGGTGAAATAGCCACAAACTAGTGTTTCCTGGGCCCCTGGCTTTGCAGTCACCTTCTAGTTAGGGGTCTCTGGCTACAGGATATTCCAACCCCTTCCTAAAGTTAAGCAAGAAACTACTGCTGTCTGAACACCCATTTGTGCCGGGTCCACTTCCAGTCCCCCCACACCAGGAGTCTCCTTCAGAGGTCACAAAACACTGTCATTTCTGTTTTTCAGTGGAAGAAACCGAGGCCTCAGGGAGAAACGGCAGAGCTGGGGTTCAGTCTGACAGCAGCGATCACCTCCGAGCTCTGAGCTGGGCTCTGGGAGCTGCCGCCAAACGGGCTGGATGATCCACACAGCACTCTGTTTGCAACTCACCTACAAAATTAGTCCTGTTATGTTAATTTAATATAATATAATAAACACTTATAATGGACATTAGAAATATTTATAATCTAAGTGTGATAGGTATTTAATATAAACTATGGTATTGATTATAAGTATGTGATTTTACATATTGACATGTTATTAATTATCATCATATTTGAGGGCCTGCCTTGTACCTGACCCTGTTTTTTGCACTGGAGATACTGCAGGGCCTTTGACGGGTTAAACTCCCTCCTCCTCCTTCATTTACCTTCAGTGGTCATGATACTGTTTTTTTAATATCAGCATCTGAAATTTACGATGAATGAAAATTTAAAATATTTCCAAGGTGGGGGTGGTGGGAGGAAGTCAAGCCAGGAGACGGGTAATAAACAAGTAAAACGTATGAGGTCAGATCGGGGGACGGTCTAGAGAATACCGCAGGGAAGGGGGACGGGAGGTGTCCTTGGGAAGGGGTGTACCCTGGTCAGGTGGCTAAGGAAGGCCTCGGGGAGAAAGCAGTTATCACTACTGCTGCATCGCAAACTACCCCCGACTTCGCAGCTTAAATCAACAAGCGCTCGCTGTCGCGGACTCAGCGAGTGGGGACTCAAGTGGTGGAGTGGTTCCGGCTCGGCCCATCCAGGAGGCTGCAGTCCGCACACCAACATCCTTGCAGCGTGAAGGCTGGACCGGGGCTGGAGGCGCTCCCTCCAGGTGTTCCCGGGTGCGGCAGCACAGTCCCTGGCCACGGGCTGCACACGGGGCTGCACACGGAGCTGCACACAGAGCTGCACACAGAGCTGACTGCCCGAGGGAGCGAAGACGCAATCTGGCCTCAGAAGCGATGCTCCCTGATGCCGGCCGGATCCTCCTGGGCACCGCCAACCCTGCCAGAAGGCGGGAGGGGCCACACGGCCTGTGTGACGGACCGTGGGCGCCGGGGGGCCGTGTGGGAAGCTGGCGGCCACACAGTGGAGGAGCAAGCCACGCACATGTCGGAGGGAAGAGAATTCCAGGCTGAGGGAACAGAAGACAGAAAGGCTCTGAGGCAGGCCCGGCCGTCACGTCCCGGGAGCAGCAAGGAGCACAGCGTGGCTGAAGAGGAGGTAGCAGCGGTAGAAGAGGCCAGGGGTAACCATCCAGGGCCATGGTTCTCAAAGTGGGGTCCCCACCCCAGCAGCATCGGCAG